AATTCTCAGGCCCATTTAACTTCACTTTTATATAGAATAGGATCACTTTGTAGATGTACAGTGCTTTGCCTAAGGTTCTCCAGACAATTTAATCTTTCCAAATATCACCTGAATCTACAAAGATCTCCACTAAATGAACATGCCTCCAGGCAGATAAAATCCTGCTGGGGATGGTGACAAGTTATAGAAGAGTTAAAGTAATGAAGAGTTACAGCACCTTACTTTTGTCAGAATGAAAGGAAACATTAAAAAGGTTTCCTTCTACTTGTGATATTTCCATGTATTTGAAAAGCATGTCAAACTACAGCAAACAACTTGAATGCTGCTGTATCTTGTAATTAAAGGAAAATTATTACTCGCTGCAGTTAAGTGCAAAAGTCATTAAAAATAGGCCTCATACATAAATAAAAAGAAAAGTACAGAGAGAAACATTTTCACGACTGACTACAGCACCTGCCTTTGGTCATCCATCAGTGATGCTTAAGCCCCCAAAAAGTCAAGATATATAGATATTCTCACTGTCAGAGCTACCTTGTGTGAGTTAGGCATTTGTATTAATTCTTGAGACAGAGGCTGCAGAATCTGTTACCTCATAAGATGCCGAGATTCACGTTAGTGACAATTATAGTTACTACTACTGTCCAAAGCTTATGAAGTCTAGATCTCATGGATCCAAAGAGGAAGTCAAGCAAAATCAGAGAGTGCTGGGACTTTATGACTGAGTGATCCACCCAGAGATACAGACTATGGCAAGGAAGGGGAACCAATGGGGCTGGTATTGTTCAGGTTCTTTCTTCCAGGCTGTCACCCTTCTTTTTCTCCTTTCTGTCAACGCTACAATACACTCCTGTGCAGCGCTCCAAATACTTTTGAAGGCCATGTACCCCTCAGCAGAACAAGAATGAGACTCAAGAAAATATTTAAATCTACAGAAACCAATGAATGAACACATACAGGTTTCTGTGAGTTCTGGATCAAACCCTGAGTGAGTAGTGAAATAACGAGCAGCAGGACCTTGACTTGTCCTCTGAGAAATGCAGAGTTCTACCATCCCAGCCCATCTACTCTATTAGAAATATACAAAATGAACATTCAAACCATAATTATTTTAAAGTTGTGGTAGCAGCACTTGTTTGCCAGAGATGATACATCTGACTACACAATTATTCATCTCTATATATTTAATTCCAAGGAATGTAAGGAAAGATATGTACTGCTCAACATACATTTAGACTATTGCAAAGCACACAACCATCTAAATGATGATGAGGATGTTGCTTCTTTCTAGCAAGTGCAATTCACCACACAAGGAAGTATATTTTTGATGATCCTAAATCAAGCTTCCAGTAGGGAAGATTTTAAAATATTCTTGTATTGTAACAAAATGTTCCCAATGGTGTTGTAATGGAAGAAAGAAAGAAGAAAAAAACCATCTCCTGGCAGGAAATTAATTATTGAGCATTCCCCTGCTTGATGATGCACTCCTACATTCTGTGCAGGCTTTCCATTTTTCTCTCTCAGTATGTGGAGAATATACAAATATGCACTATGGAAAATATACAAACAGAACAAAGAGCACAAGGGTATCAGTTTATTAAGTGCATTTAGAACAAACCAGGAGGGAGGAATTTGGTTTGTGCACTACCACAACTAGTGTTTATTCCTTCTTTATATTCCTCTCTCCTCTCATCCATTAGATTGTCACTTCTGCTCTGTTCTCTGAAATCACCTCTGTTGAGAATGGAAGAATTGTGCCTGGCTTTTAGCATCACTTAGCTGACACAGTTTTGAAATGTCACTTCCTTCTTTTAAAAAATAAAACAGAAAATCTCTTGATGGAAAGGGAAAATAGAAGCCCATCATTACATGCCTAAATATCAAGACGTAAATCCATTTTTAAACTCATTCTTTTTTTCCACCCCCAAGTCCAGCCTATTTAGTAATTTTTGCCCCTTGCTGTCAGTTTTAGTCTCCCTATGAAAGAGCTGAAAAACCCACAGCGGCCATAATTTCACACATGACAGAACATATAGTTCCTGAAGCTACTTCTGTAGCCAGCACATGCACCTACAACATCTCAGTTTGGTGGGACCATACCACTGCAAAAGCATCTTCATGAGAGCAGATGCTTCCCAGTAACGGGAATCTTGCATTCTTCCTGGATGTGGAACAACCAAACTAGAGAGGGAAGATGCAACAGACTGAAACAACATATGCTATCTTCAAATAGAATTCATGTCAGCGATGCTCTATAGCTTAGCTAAGACATAATGAAGAAATTTGCAAGAGAAATAAACAATTTTCACTTTTTAAATCAGAGACAGAAAGGGTATGGAGAACTACTACAGCAGATGTCTGTATGATTCCTGCAGAAACCTTAACACCAGCTAGGCTGCCTGGGACCCTTTCTCACTTGAGTCATCAGCACTTGGGCTCTTCCAACTCTTCCAAGCTGGGCAGGATGGCTCAGACACAGCATGGCTGCACTGCCTGTCTGCCTTGCACACCTCACATTTCTCTGGCTCTGTGCATCAGCCAGTCTCCACCCCTGCATGCACACCTGCCAGTGTTTGCATGTGTTGCTCACATCCTCTCCTTACTCCTTCTTGGGTCTATATTAACATGATGGGCTCCCCAGAGACCAGGAGGGACCTCCACATATGCAAGATGTCCCACTGAATGGGAGCAGTCTGGAATAAGACAAACCATCCCCTTGACACTCTAAACACAGCTGGTGTTACAAGAGAGCGCTGCAGGAGCTGGAGCTGCAGCAGCAGACAGGGACCTCCACTGCACGAGGTCTTCATGTGGCTCTGGGCAGCAGGGCCCTGGCAGGGTCTGATGGTGCTGATGGAAATGCTGTGTTGTCCTCACCTAGTTTTTCATCCCAAACTCTTGACTTTCTACCACATCAAAGCTGTTATTGATTCTGCAGCTGATAGACAATGATACTAGCAATTGTTCAGATGACATTGTTTTGAGAGGAGAGAGTGAATTTTGAATTATAAAGCAGAAGAAAGTTTAATTACTACATATGAGCATAGAGCATATGCTGCTATTTTACAAGAAACTGTTCTGAAGAGAAGCACCATGCTCTGCCACCAAGCTCCCAAGCGACAAAAATCACACTCTCACGAGTATCAGACTCGCCATCTGTAAAATGTTTTTCATCTCTAGAAGATAATGTGAGAACTATGTGTTACAAATCATATATTTTCTGACAGCTATTATCACTTGCTTTGGAGCAGCACCTTAGAACAAATGTTTTTTCTGCCCTATAAGAGCTCACATGAGGCAGGAAACTTCTTAAAAACCTATTTAGTAGTGCAAGCAAGGTGATAATCAATGTATGTTTCAAAATTTCTCTTGGATGATAAGAAGAGAACAGAAGGTTTTTTTCATGAACATAATGTCATTCAAAAGAATTTGCTCTGTAGGATGACATTCTCCTACACAGCTACAGGAATTTTAGATAAGGCTGTGTGCATCTGTACACATGCATTTTAAGTTCCAGAAAGGGAAATTAACCATTCTCTCACAAATTACTGAGAGACAAAGCAAAAAACATACTACTCTTTCTAGGAACAGAAAGATTACTTTTGTATTCTTTCTCAAAAATGTTCATTAATTAAGGATTAAATTTGTCTTAATGACTACAGTTTTGAGCAGCAAGAGATCAGTCAGGCCAGCCATGTTAACTCAGAGAATAGAAAGAGACTGAGACAGAAGCCAGAAACATAGAGCTACAATGTAATGAGAGACTGTCAAAATCCAAGGGGAATGCAACCTGGAATCAATGGCCCTGACTGTGCTCAAAATCTGAATTTCAGAGCTTAGGATGATGCAGGTCAAAATGATGTGGAGTGACCCCATCAGTAGCTAACTGCATTAATATACCAGAGCTGAAAGAATGGCTAATTTGACTCTCTTTTCTGATAAATTATATATCTTCTATAATCAATCCAAACCGAAACTAATTTCCAGCAAGTGTACTGCTCTGCCAGTAGACAGTGCCTTAATGTAATTATGCACAGACAGGAAGAGATAATGACCTCTGATTAAAGTCTATTATTTTTACGGAACATGAAGATACATCGCAGTATTATGTGAGCTATTGATTAAGATCAGTATGTTACATTGAACAAGTTGTTCTCCCATAAACCACTGCTGGTTTTTTCCTCTTCCATCGAATCTTGCTGTCCTTTCCAGCCACGAGGAGTTACCTGGTGAGGGGCAAACATAACTTTGGAGGAACTACTACTACAGCTACATTGATACCGATCTACATTAGGAGCCAGGTATTTGCATCCCTTCCGCCGGCACAGCCTGTGGCAGAATAGGAGAGCATCCCGCAGATGATTTATCCAAAAGCTCTGTCCTTGTTTATTCAACAGTAGCATATTAGAAGATACATCAAATTGAGTCCTCTGATAGCGGCTTCGCTTCAAATCGCGGCGGTCCAGATGCGGAGCCGTGCCCTGACCGCGGCCGAGCGACCCCGGCTGTCCGCCGGGAGGGGCGGGCGGGCTCTGCCCTTCGCCCCGGCCGGGCCCACGGGGACCCCGGGCACGGTGAGCCCCGGCGCCGCCCGGCCACACAGATCTCCCCCGAGCCCAGCCGGAGCCCGCAACCCCCGCCCCGACGGCCCCCGGGGGCGGCTGTGGGTGGCAGCAGCGCCCGCGGGGACACGACAGTGCCACCCCCGCAGCATCCCCGGCGCGGCGGAGCCCCCGCGCCCCGTCCTGCCCCGGGGCCGCTCGCCCCAGCGCCGGGGATCTCCGCGGCCGGACGGGCAGGCGCCGCGTTCGGGGGAAACTTTGGCCGCGCCGACCCTCTCCCCCGGCCCCACAGCCGCCCCCTCTCCGCGGGGCTGCGGGAGCCGCGCACGGCGGCCCGGGGGGCGGGCGGGGGAGGCAGGACCGGCGCGGGGAGCAGCAGGGGCCGGGGAGCGGGGCGGCGCGGGGGCGGAGGGAGGGGTTTCTGCGGGGGTGTTGGTTTACCTTGGAGGTTCTGCACTCGGATGTCGCTGATGTGCCCGATGAGCTCCTCGCGCTGGAACCAGTCCCACTCCTGCCCGGCCATAGGGACGCGGGGCCGGGGCCAGGCGGGCGGCGGGAGCCGGCGGCACCGCCACCGCCGCCTTCACCGGCACCGACGGCGGGCGCGGAGCGGAGCGGGCGGGGGGGCGGCCCCTCTCCGCGCCGGCTGCGCCCCGCCCCGCGCCCCTCCCTCCTCCCTCCCTCCCTCCGCTGCCGCTCGCTGCCTCCCTCCCTCAGGCCGCCCGGCCGGGGGTGGCGGGGCGGGGCGGAGCGGGCGGGGGTCCGGCCGTGCTCCCCTCAGCGGCGGCGGCCCGGACCGGCCCGGCCCGTTCCGGCCGCCCCCTCGGGTGCAGGCGGGGACCCGGCGCCCGTCCCGCCGCAGCGCTCCCCTAAAAACGGGTTTATTGCCCAGGCAAGGGGCCGCGAGCAGCGCCGGGCGTGTGCCCGCGCCCTCCTGCCGTACCTGGGGACCGGAGGAGGGCCGTCCCTAGGACAAGTGTCATGCACCCGCGGCAGCAATGGAACAACCAAAGTATGAGCAGCAGAGGGGTTTTCCTCGAGGGCATGAAATCAGTGCCACTATACATTAAAAACACTAACAGTTGCATTCTGATTTAGCTTGCTCTTGGTAGTCTGTTCAGGCTCTCAAATTTCCTTTGAGGTGAATTCTCACATTGGCTGTCTTCATGTACACCGGTTTTTATCCAGCTTGGACAGTAATTGTTACCAAGGCCCTTCGGTGTCACTGAGATTTGTTCTCTACAAACCTGATGAACAGCTTGAGCATGTCATTTGCATACAAAGCATTTCATTGCAATATACCACTATTTGTACCTTCGTGCAGGTAAACAGCAAATTTTGGCATGATCCAGTCAGACCAGTATAGCATCAAGAGCTAGACTAGCAAAACATGTAAGCAAAATCTACAAAGTTAAATATAAACAAACTGGGATCTAGAAATTGTGGCTCTTTCAAGTCTGAAGTGTTTATGTGATCCCAGGCAAACACTCCACACAACCAGTTGTTTCACCCAGCTCAGGAATGCATCGCTCTTCCCACAGCCTGCCCTGGTGATTTTGCCATTACGACTCAAAATCAGATGGAGATGGTAAGAAAGCAAAGTCGTCCCTTAAGCATCTAATAAGGATTCATCACCACTATAACATGCAGCAGTCAGCTATCCCAAAATGCAGTCTCCAAGAGTCTGAGGCAGTCTTCAGCTGTTTACATACCAAAACTGGAAAGTTTTGCACAGGTGTATGGACACATGAATGCCATGACAAAGAGTTTATAAACCTGAATGTAAGAAGCAGAAAAAACAGCTTGTGGAAAAGAAAAAGCATCTGAACTCAAATAGATTTGCACAAATCACAATGCCAGACTTTGCCTTCATTTTACACTGGGAGGACCTGTTTTTTTTCCAGGCATTATCCAAGTGGGCTGGATGCATCAGTACCACATTTAGAGGTGGAGCTGGAAACTGAGCAAGTGTGGCTGTGGGAAAAACAGATGAATGACTTCACAGCATCAGTGGAAATACTATCTGCCAGAGTGGCTGGAGATCCCTAATCCACACTGCATCTCGAAGCAGGACTACTCCCAGCGCTAGATGGGGACAGCTGAGCCTTTGTCCCATTGTGTGTGAGCATCCTCCTGGAGCTGGGGTGTCAGCTGCAGAATCATAGACTCACAGATTTAGAATTGTTTGGGATGGAAAAGACCTTTAACATCATCAAGCTCAGCCGTGAAACTAATACTGTCAGGGCCACCACTAAGACACGTCCCTAAGTGGCACATCTACAAATCTGTTAAATACCTCCAGGGATGCTGATTCCACCATTTCCCTGGGCAGCCTTTTCCAATGCTTTACAACTCTTGCAGTGAAAAAAATTTTCCTAATATCCGGTCTAAAACTCCCCTGGCACAATCTGGGACTATTTCCTCTTGTCCTGCCACCTGTTACTTGTGAGAAGATAATAACCCTCACCCGGCTTTCAGGTGGTTGTAGAGAGCAATAAGATCCTTCCTGAGCCTCCTTTTCTCCAAGCTAACCCTCCCAGCTCTCTCAGCAGCTCCTCACAAGACTTGTGCTTCAGACCTGTCACCATCTTCTTTGCCCGTGTGTGGAAGTGCTCCAACTCCACAATCACCTCAATGTCTTCCTTGCAATGAAGGCCCCCAAACTGAAAAGGATGCAAGGTGCAGCTGCATGCACCAGTGCCAAGTTCAGGAGGGTCGGAGCCCTGCTCCTGCTGGCCACACTCTTTCTTCTGTAACTCCTCACTGCCAGCCCCACCTGACCTGTGATGTTACAGCTGTGAGTCATTCCCTAGAGCTAATTACTGCCTTCACCCTCCTCCTTATCCTCATGCAAGAACTGCCCAGCTCCACTCTCCTGGTGGTTGAGGGTGCAGCCCACGTCACTGACATCTCCAGGCCTGCCAGGCAGCTGCACTTGACCTGCACAGTCTGGGTCTCAGAGTCAGGCTGGGTTTAAGATGTAAATGATTAACATTGTGAACACAGGGAAGTTAAAACTTCCGCTTAGAGAGAGGAGAAAGGCATTAAACCATTCTTACCTGGGAAAACACCTGCTCTGTGTAGCCCTATACAATAGCAGAGGTTGGCGTGGTCAAGCAGCAGCACAGGCTGGGGCTGCCAGTTCTTCCTGTGCCAATGGAGGCAAAACCATCAGCACAGCAGCCTGCCCTTCTCTTGCCAGCAAGTCAGGCAGGACTTCAGCCTGGGGTTGAGCCCATCTGCCAGGTCTGATCACTCCTGTTTCTAGCCCAGCACATCAATATAGGCTGCATCAACCTCATCTTACATCAACACCATGAGGTGCTGTGGATGAAAACCCTGATCCAGTTTCACTTAGCAGGTATGGAGGGAGGCAGCAGCCATGTCACCTGCGTTTGTCCATACAAAACTTTCAGATGGCTCCCCAGCACCTTTCCCAAGTCAGCTTTGTGGTTAGCAGAAGCCCTCCTATGTAGAACATTGCAATATGTGCAGAACCAAGTGCTCCAAAGTAGAAAGGTAAGCCTCTAAAGTTGTAAGGACATTTAAAAATGTTAAGATCGACAGGGCATCCTGTATAAACATTTTTCTTTAAGTTTTTAAGTTCTTCCTTGCAACCTGGGGTCTGTGAATCAGCTTAGCAAGAAAGTATGAAATCTGAAATTCTCATATAAAGCTAGAACACCAAATCTTATGTTAGTTGTTGTAAACTCTGTAAAGGCTTGTGGAAATTATCTGTGAAAATACTATGTCTTCTAAGAAGTAACTCATTGCATGCAGTGAGGAGTAAAGAACTTCTCTTAAACAAAAAGTGATTTCAGATTTTATTAACAAAGTCCACTTGCCTTTTGATGTTAAAGGACTATTCTATAACTGAAAAAGCAGGTTAGATTTAATTAAGTCCCTTGGCTCAGACTTGTTACTTAGGGCAATGCTGTAAACACTTGGCAGAGACTCTGAACTGTAATAGCTGGTTTATTAAAAAAAGAGTTTTGTCACATATGAGAAGGCAGAGAGTCTGATATGAAGTTCACGGGGAACTTACCACTCTTCTGCATTGCCTTTATCTTTTTTTTTTTTTTTAGTGTATGCAGAATAAGGATGTTAAAAAGCTTTTAGTTTCCCATCCTTTGCCTATCTCACCAGTGAGTGACTTAATGAGTTAAATTCTCAGTTTGAGAAGAAAATTTACACTTGAAGGTTGTGTAATAGTAGGGACAAAGCCATCAAATTCTACAGCTCAGCTTTGTGCCTGTCCAGATGGAGAATCCTTGTGATTCCTGCTGAAATGGCAAGGGAAGATATCTGACAAAAAAGAAAGCTATTTTTGAAATGAAGGAAGATATTTATGCCATTGTAGCTAATTTGTTTTGCCTTTATAAACAGAGTTCTCCATACAAACAGTCATTCTAGGAATGGATTTTTTCCTGCTTTTGTTTAAAATAGTTCCAGACCAATGGTACTGGAAAAAGGTGTTGTCTGTCTTGAAACAGGTGAAAATATCTTGCATTTCAACCCAGACCTCAGAGAAGTGTAACTTCCTATCCAACCATGCCTCAGCCATCCATGGCTGCTCAGACCAAAGAGCTACAAAACCAACTTTCCACTAATCCTGTCTAGATCTCCCTCTGCCTACATTCCCAAAACATCCTTGTTGAGTGCCTTGGTCTGCAAAATGTTTCTCTGTCCGTGACAAACAGTGTTTTGGGAAAGGTGGTGGGCATTTGGGTCCTGGCATTGTCCTTGCATCTTTGCATGTGCTTCTGCCTTGTTAAAGGGGCTGCAGAGTATGTGAGGATCTCACTCACCTTTTAACCCTTTTTCTGAAGTCTTACAGGAAGAGGACTGAAAATGCTGTCTTACCCTAAAGCTGAATGAGAAAAAAAGGAGGAAAGTTGAAGTCTGTAACACAGGAAAGTAATCCACATTCTTATTTAACTCTGGTATTTTACAGATACATTACAACCTGAGTGGTCACTTAATTTTAAGGCAATAATCATACCACTGTAGGTTTCATCAAGATTTTCTTTTCCTTGCTTAGCCTATATCTGAAATACCAAGGAGGGCCAGCCCAGAGAAAAGACTCATTAGCTCTCTCAGATGAATAGGTAAGCAAAGATTTCTTTACTATTACCCTGTCTGACAGCAGCCACCCCATAGTCTGGCTCCTCTGCCCACACACATGTAAACAATGGGAGGGGTACCATGTAAAACAGACTTTCAAAGCAAAACACAAAAAAAGTCAGGAGAGGAAAAAACAGTCTAATTCAACCAAGTCAAGAGGAGACACTGAGATAATACAAATGAATAAAATGAATACCAGCTTAGAAATAGGAGTTTTGTGCCCCACTAGACCCATCTTCCTCTTAGTCCCTTTCATATGGTAAGAGAAGAGGGGTGATGATTCTTGGCCCTGCCTCAGTGTACCACTGAGCATATTTACAAACTTTGCAGGTTGAGCAGCCTCCCTCTGCTGGGCGTCCTGCTTCCTTGACTCCCAGAAGTCCACCACATAGGCCACACTGATGAACCACAGTGATTCACAACTGGTGCCACAAACTGGCAATAAATAGACTGGAAATTGCTGGAAGGTCTTTATGTGCTCTGTATGAGTTTCATCACACAGTCCATGAATAAT